GCGGCAGTCCCGGAGCTCAACGTTTGTTCTCATCTTCCAGCCGTCTCCCTTGTCCCTCTCCTTCCGCTCGGTGTTCATATCTGCCCTCTTCTTTATCCTTGGCCTCAGCTTCTCTCTCGTCGAGTCTGCTCTTGCTCAACGTCGCCCTCATACAGGTCTATGAGAAGTTAAACGCGCGCTGGTCGACGAGCTTGGTCCCTCCATCCTCGACTATCTCCGCTCTCCGTAACGACTCTCAACGACCACTGGTGTCTCTTGGATTGCTTGAAACGCCGTCATAGATGTCTGTGGCAGTGGCTAGCTCGAGCAACCTCCAGGCGCTGGAAGACGCGTCCCAGCCCACCTCCAGAGCCTCCTCCCCGTCTTCTCCAGCTACCCCCATCTCGCTTCAGCAGCCTCAGCTCTCCCGTGTGAATGTTAACTTAAACGGATCTTTGACGAACACCCCAACGTCTGCTCACCCCAACCATGCGCTTGAGGCTCCTCCTGGCACACCATACCCGGATTTCCTGCGCTCATGGACCGACGCGCACGTCGCGGTCTGGCTATCTGAAATCAGGTGTGCACATCTAGCCGCGACATTCAGGGCGAATGATATCCGAGGCGATGTTCTCCTGGAGCTCGACCAAATGATCCTGAAGGAGATGGGCATGTCGAGCGTCGGGGACAGGGTACGCATCCTGAACGGCGTGAAGCACCTCCGCCAACGGTGCTCCGCTAGTAGCGCGCTCACATCCATCCTCAATCGCCCGCGCGCTATCGACCACAGCCGTAACTCTAGTATATCCAGCGACCATGGGGCAACACGCACGGGCGCGCGACGGTTGGAATCTGCCCGACCTGCACCTCTGCATTTACCCCCCAATGGTGGATCGCCGGACCTGCCCCGTCTCGTACGCGACGGCCAGGACTCTGCTCGCTTAAACAACATGCGTCCGTTGCCATTGCAGCCAAACAGTGCGAGTACACACGGTACGCCTACCACTGCCCACAGCCGCACAAATCTGCCTCCCCTCCCACCTCCACCACGAGGGCAGCCACCTTTGCCCCCGATCGCCCGAACACCCCGGAACCTCCACCATGCCCCCAGCACGCCGAGTACGTCTGGACGACGCACGCCCACTCTTCCGGACGCTCCGCTTGCCCTACCACAGGCCGGACTGCTCACCCCAGGTTCCCAGACGCAGGGCCCGAGTTGGCAGGGGTACGGCCTCCCTTCAGACCCCAGGCAGGGCAATCGGGCGCCGAGCCGGTCGACTTCGCCTCTGCCAGTGCCGTTTCCCCCGTCACAGCCGCCGGTCCGCGGCGCAAGTCGTACAGCCTCCGAACACTCGAGAACTGGTTCGTATTCCGGCTCTACGCCCACCTCGGAGACCTCGAACAAGCCGCTGCCACGACCGCGCACAGGCAACGGCGCGCACCCTTACGCGACCTCGCAGCTGCAACAGGCACATGGGCTCTCTCCTATCGCAGAGTCGTTCTCCTCAGGGCGCAGGGATGCGTACAGGAACCTTAACGACTTCCGACCAGGCACGCCGTCCTCGCGCAGCAATCCCTCACTTGACGACCTGCGTCGGAAGCTGATTAAGTTCACGCTGCCCGAGGAAGGCAAGACCACGACATTAAACGTCGCCGATTGCTCCGGTGGCGTCGAGGTTTTGACGAAGGCGCTCAAGAAATTCGGAAAGCTCGGGCCGGAGAGCTCTGAGTCCGTCGAGTCGGACGATGGGGGGCTCAGCGTCGACGGGTGGGGTGCATTCTCGGAGTGGGGGATGCCTGAGGCGCAACGTACGTGCCCTGCAGTGATACCCAAGCGTGCAACACAGTCTGACAAATACTTACAGGGAGTCCGCTCAGCGAGGCAGAGATCGTAGAGTTGTGCCATAAATCCCCAGACGACCCTGCACGCGTGCATGGCTTCACGTTGCGCAAGACACTACGGGCGAGGCGCGGATATGGCTCTCCCTCGCTCACCGTATCGGACGAAGACGAGGACCCGCTCGACAGGGCGCTGGCGGCGGAGCCTCCGGTCTACACCAAGGCGATGAAGCGCGCGAGCTCCGTTAGCATCCTGAGCGGGCTCGGTGTCCCGATTCCGCCTCCGAAGACGGACGTCGCAGAGCCCGAGGCTCAGGCGTCGGGCAGTCCTACAAACAGCCAGAAGGGTCCGAACAAGCTGCGGAACTTCTTCGGGCAGCGGCCGCCCAGCGAGCTTAT